TAAGCCGCCCAGAGTCCCCCATTGGGGGGAGATGGGCAGGGATAAGCTTGATAAATAAATAAATAAAATAAATAAATATTCAGGTATGCAGAAAAGTATTGAATTGTAATGAAAAATGGAAGAAAACATCAAAACAGTGCATGATTTTTACCAGCCAGAGCTTATGGAGTGCCAAGGGGGTTCCAGGAGAAATAAGAGAGAAAAGGAAGGAGGGAACTGAGATCCTATCCCCATGTGTTACAGCAGCCTTTCCTCATTTGAAGACATACTGAAGCGTTTTCTAAACTAATGATATATTCCTTCGAATTAGTTGATTGCAAACTGAAATATTGGAATCCAACAAACGCGGAGAATAATCATGACTTGGTTTTTATCACTATAAAGTCCTTTAGCACAGGGTTTGCTTATCTATGAAACTGAACTGGGGCTAGCCCTAACCCTAAGAGCCGCTGTACAACATGACAATGCAAAGCAGAGTGAAAGAGTGAGACATCTATCCTTCGTGGAACACAACCAGAAAAGGAAACGGAGAAGCAAGACTCCAACCCTTTGGGGTCTGCCATTGCACCTGCAGAGAACAGACCCCCTGAGTGGTCCCTCCTTCACCAACACATTGGAGGGAAAGCTGGAACAATCCGTGACTTGCTGGGAACAATTTACCCAATTTCTTGTGGATATGGGCAGTCAGATCCATCTCAACCTGGACTCCAGTATTGGAGCAGGTCACAACAGTATAACCTCTATTATTTTGTATTTTTTCGGCCACATTGATAGGCAGGGTATGTGAAAAGATGAGAGCCGCCATCTGTTTATTTGACCCTTGTCTCTCTTGTCTAATCGAATCAGCCAGGACTGGCCCCAGGGCTACAAGAGGTATCAGTACATCCTTGTTGGAGGACATGCTCCTCCCTGTGAAATAAGACCTTCAAAGTGTTGGTGGTAACCATTAAAGGCCTAAATAGTTTAGGATCTATCTGACGGAATATTTCTCGCATCCTGAATCTGTCTGGACATTCAGATCTGCAAGAGAGGCACTTTCAGAGCTTTTTCCTGGCATTACTTTTAAGTTAAGGAGGACTTTCCTTAAAACACTTCCCTTTTAGAAGATCAGAGCAACCATGCCTATAACTGTTAACCATGTAATGCTATTTTTTTTAAATGTTAGGTTTTAAAAAATGTTTTTATTTTTTATGTTGATTGTTGTTGGCTGCCTCAGATGAACAGAAAGGTGGGATATAAATTGAATAAATAATAATAACAATTAAATAAAATCCTTGAACAATGCAATTGACGGAATTTTGGATGCTGCCCTTCCTCCAAATACGTTTAATGAATCTATGTCACGTACATCAGTTCTCCCTTCGCAGTGCTCAGAGCAGCTGCAGTTACGCTGTTTCACTATCCTAAATATTTCGAGAGGCAAGCTCGCAAATTCAATTTCCCAAGTTTAGGCAGCAGTTTTAAATACTGGTCATGTCAGATGGCCCTGCTACTTTGATGATGCTCCTAGCCTTTCCACTCAGCGCAACCCTACTATCCCAGGAAGAGAGTCAGAAAATTCAGTTTGACATTTTTCTCTGTGGATTACGTACTAGGCATAAATCTCTGAAGTATTTCAACAGACTTGCCCAGGCAGGCTCTGAAGGAAAAATAGGCCCTATTTCTGTGCTTGCCTGTTTGTACTTGTGGGCCTCCAGAGTTTCCCAATTAAGTTTTGTTTTGTTTTTTTAAACGCAAGAACAGATATGGAGGCACTTCCCCATATGAAATATAAAATATCACTAGTAGAATTCTGTTGTAGATACATTGGGGAAAGAGTGCTGTTAGGGCTGCATAAACATAAAAATGAAGTTCCTGCTCAAGTATCTTTTACTACATGCAACCAACAAACCTTTTTTGAAATAAACTTAGCATTGCTTACCTGCTTTATATGATATGGTGTTTGTTTTTGCCACCGACTTCTTATAACACAAGTAGGCTGCTAAGCCCCACTGCCGAAACATAAAGTTGGAACGGGCAAGTTAGCACGCTAGGCAATGTAGAAATTAAATGTCATATCATAAAGGGGAGGAGCAAACAAATCTGATAACACAAGCGGTATTCAATAAAATGCTGCTTCTTTAAACAAATGGAATTTTTCTAATTCCTAATGGAAGTGCTCAAGGATCGTATGAAAAAGTTTATTTTTTTCATATCGGTAAGCGGTAATGACCTATTTTCCTTTCATTTGATTCCTGCTGATTTAAACCTTTTGGAGCAATGCTTAGTTCTCTCAACTTGCAATTACTCACTCTAGGACCCCTTTTTAGCACAAATGTCATACAGTTTGGTAATTTCTGTACAGTACCAACTTCCTTCTGTTGCTGGGAACATGTCTATGTAAACAAAAAATGTGCCGTCTCCCATTAAACATTGCCACACATCCTAAATTCCAGCACAGAACAGAATTAAAGAGAAAGGAGCTGCCACCCAAAGCAATCTGAACAGAGATCTTTTAGGATGTAAAAGGCATATTTTCATGCATGATGTGCATGATAGAATATACATTTTATTTATAATAGCTAAGAATACCAGTAACAGGCAGATCGAGAACAAAATTCCCATGCATTGCAAAGGCAGTAAAAGAATTTTTGAAGGGCATGAAATGTTATGACACCCAAACATGGAAACATAATCTCTTAAAAGGTATCTTCATGATCAGCAAGTTATACTGAGCACATCTTATCTGAGCTTCCCCAGTTCTAACATCTTATGAACTGGCACTACTATTTGACTTTTAAGAGCTGCCTTCTAAGTTAGCCTCTCTCAGAATTGGGCTCTTGACAAACAGTTTATAGTAGTGTTGATGGTTCAGCAGACAGGCGAGAGGACTTACAGAAAGTCCCCTAGATACGAACTTTCAAGTCGCGAACTTCCATCGATACGAACAAGATGGACCCGGAAGTTGGAACTGAAAGTTGGGCTAGAAGTTGGGAGAAAGCGCACTGCAGACTAACCCTTTCCCGCCATCTCTTGACTTCTGGTTCCAACTCTGGTCCTGACTTCTCACATGGTCGGTTGTGTTTGGTGTATGTGGCAACTGCAAATTGCAGACTGCAAATGTCTGCAATTAAGCGCAAGTGCCTACACCATCGCCGCAAGCCGCTACATCAACGCTGCTGTTTATGTAAAGTATGAACTGCGGGTAGGTTTTTTTGCTTGTTGGACTTACAAACAAAACGGACTTATGAACAGCCTCTTGGAATGTAACCTGTTCGTAAGTAGGGGACTGTCTGTACTTCTTTTCTGTCACCTAAAAGAGCCTGCTTGGAAATGCAGTCCTAGGAAAGTCCTAGCCATTCTTATACCAGAAAAACATGATATACAATATGAAGACTGGAAATCAATGGTATTGTTGCAAGAGTTAGTAACAATCTGGAATATGGAGGATGCAAAAAAATAGCCTTTGAAGTCACTTCATCCCAAAAGATCACCTGCTACTGAATGTGAGCACAGACCTCAGGACCAGCAGTCAAATGAGTTCAATGAAGAGAATGCAATCATAAAAGATCCACCTAATTTAAATCCATAATAAATTAATAATACTAATTCATTTATTAGTATTATAATATTTGTGTGCTTGGATGCCATATTCTAAATACGGCATCCAAGCTGTAAATAACACTGCACTTTGCAAGATGTAAATATGGGCAGGACGACCTACAATCACACTTCGTATAATTTCTTCTAGAAGTATTCATTTAACAGATACATTTATTAGATGGGAAGCTATAAATGACTAGGTCTGCATTATGCTCATAGCTTAATTCTTTGTAATTTTAAAATGAGGTAGGCTGCTGTTTGTCACCACAATTTGTTCTGGTCATTCTGAATGGAATGGTATGTAGGCTTTCGGTAATTAGAAATAAATAAATTAAAATTGAATTGTGTTGATCATGCTTCTCCTCCAGCCTTCAAAATATACATGGTTTTCTTTGCACTTGTTTTTCTAGGAAATGTCCTAACACCACATTTTATCATTCAGAAACAGCCCTACAGAATAAGAAGATAAGGAGATCCTTCAGTTTAACACATATAAGGACTTGCAAAGCTGTGTGTGAATGCCTTTTTAAAAATAAACTATTAGCTTCCAGTCTTTTAGAGTTAAGCAAGTCCTATGTACTTTTTATGCAACTGACTATTTAAACAGGAGATTTTCATTTCCTATAGCCCAGAATATCAGAAAGTCGTTAACATCTGAAAGAGGAGTTTAATTCACACCATTAAACCAGTGAATAATTTCAGGACCATTATGTGAATCGTTAATACTTATACAAAGAAGAGCAGAAGGATGAGAACCTTCAGTCCCATGGCTTGAAGCTAGCTATGGGTAACTGCCAGATGTGGATTTGAAAAATAATATTTGCACTGGATGTGTTAGCCATAAGGGCAACATTATTGAAACACCTCTTAGTATCAGATACTTAGGGCAAACGGGGAAATTAACACGGTTTGTGGATTCCCAGAGATATACAGCAGGATCCAGCAAAGTAACTTGAAGTTACTTTGAAGTTGAAGTCTAGACATCTTAAAGGCTATAATTCAGAATATTAAGATGAATTAAACTACTTACATCGATGCTACCTTATTGCAAGTATTATAAATCTACCCATTTATTACATTAATAACATTAACTAGAAATCCAAAAATCATCTTACCATGCTATTGTTCAGATTCTTGTCAACTTTACAGAAGGTGTGTGGAGGGGTTTCCCCCTTACTTGGGATAATTATACATATGTCTGTGACCGCCAAGGTGTTCTGCGTCATATTCTCCAAAGCTCTTCGATAGGTTATGTACACTTTCTGTGACGAGGCACCACTACTGATATTTGCAGGGCGGCCAGATGGAGTGGTCTGAATGATTTCACATCCTTGTTTTAATCTCTCTTTCCCATCATATAAAACCCTAGGCAGAAGACAAATCAAAAGGCCCAAAGCAAGTATTTAGAAAGGAACTGAGGTCTGGAGCAAAAACAGTCATTTTTATGCCTTCGGTATCTTTTGTGATGTGTAGTGCCTGAACTATACATAATACTCTAAATAATCATCTGCGCCATAAATTTGGTTAAGGGCATTATTAAAATTGACAGTTTCATTTTTTATTCCTTTCATAACAATCTCCAGGAGATAATTTACTTTTTTCAATAGCAATCAAACCCTGAGTCAATTTTTCGCCGAGCTATTCATCACCGTATCAAGATTAGTGTCCCGGCCAGTCAATCCTAGCTCCAATCTCTTGCTTTTATGTTAGACTTTTTTTTGCGCCAATCTGCATCGTTTTATACTTGATTATATCGCACTACGTTTGTCAAATTACATGACAACATAAAATGTATATATGGGCTAACTTTACAAATGGTCCATAAACTTTAGTTAGTTTAAAACAGGCAGCTAGACTGCCAGTTCAGATTGGTTGAAACTATATACTGAGTGCTATTTATATGTGGAAACCATTCAAAATGTTGGTTTAACTGAAAAGCTTTAAGCATCTTGGAATCTGCCTATCCAAAGGATAATTCCCTGCCACATTTGCTCATCCAAACTTTCTAATCTTCATCTCCAACCCTTCTCCAGGTACTCCTGCCAAAATCTGTGGAAAGCCCTCCCTAGACAGGCCCACCTGGCATCTACATTATGATCTTTCCAGCATCATGATAAAAATCTTTTATAATTTTGTCAGGTTTTACAATTATGGCCTATGATTTTGCTGCTTGTTTTATAGTCATTTTATCAGCTTTTTTGTTGCTGCTGCTGCTGTTTTTATGTCCATAATGCTGCTGTTATGGCTGGTGTCTGTTGGTTTATTTTATACCACAGGTTTTATACACTACCCATGAAATTATGATAATGGGGCAGTTTAAAAATGCAACAGATAAACAGATAAATAAATGTCCTATTGCTTCTCTGAAATACCTGTATTTTATTTTAAAATCAAGCTTTCCTATTCCTCCATTGTGACTTTAGGTCAGCCTACCACTGAAACAGAAAAATCTTTATACAGTATCTTTTCTACACATCTCCAGCATGTGCATTTTCTCCTGGGACCTTTGGAGGTTCCAACAGGCTAAAATGTTCTACTCTTTGCTCATTGCTCATTTCCTCCCCTCCCCATTTAAAAACTAGGACTATGAACAGTAAAGCACCGCTCCCCAGGTGTTTAATGCAGCTACATCCTCCAAAAGGCCCAGAGTGACTATTTCAAAGGCTTTCTCTGGTTGGTCATTTCAATGGTAATCTCAGCAGAAGTGTTGTCTGCATACGCACACCCAAATGCAGGGACAGCCATCAACATGACCACATTTATTCTCCTGAAGGACGCAGATGTTTTAAAGCTCTGAGGACAGGTGTTCCATTCACCTGACATGAAATGTTTATTTCAAAATCTTTGCACAAACTATTCAAAATATCATCAACTTCATTCCCTATGGATGATTTGTCAGATTAAATGCTTCCAAATTCCTGCCAGGTTTCCCCAGAATAACAAGCTAAGTAAAACTAACTTACCCCAGATCAGTAAGTGGGGGTTTATCCCTTCCTCTCCTGTAGCACATATATATTTGGGGCCCCATAAGGCTGCCATTGTTGAGATCAGCTGACAATCCTGACGGAGTGACATCGATGCACTTGTACCCATGAGGGACCTCTTCCCCAAGAGATTTAATTATCACCGCCACATCTGTGATTGGTTCTTTTGGCTTTGCGAGTTTATGACAAGCATCATTGAAGTGGATTTCCTCCTCTAGTGGTTTTGAAATATCAGTTAATCCCGCCACAACAAAATAGTCAGCAACCCGAGATCCTCTGTCTTCCATCTTCCATCCCAGGAAATTCTATCTGGCAAAGGATAAAAACAAAATATGATATAGTGAACTTGACCATATGGAAGTATCTCTTAAAACCAGCAACATCCAAGAACTATTGCATCTTTCTGTGATGACTCTGCCATGTTCAGTTTTATGTAAAACAGACTTCTCCCTCCCAAATGTAATTGGGTTACATTTCCATGTTCCAGCTTCATAATATAAAGCACAGATATGTTACTTTATCAACAGATTGTAAGCATAATGTGCTTGCCCAGTTGTGAACTCAAAGGACTCACATACTGGACACATACAATACTTTTTTGCAATAACAGAATTACTTATCAAGATATTATATCATTGTTCAGCCTTTTGGCTAAGATTAACCACAGTATATAGCATCCAAATGTTATATTATATATAAACAACACCATCATCACTTCAAGCAACTTACTACGCCGGAAACATTAAGTGAAATTATAGCCTCAACTCTCCAAATCAATTTGTGCCGACATAATGGAACACCGATATTTTTCAAGCACAGTGCACCACATAAGCAACTGCTCCTAATGGCTTAAATGACGCGATCCAGATTAGCCCTCTACCTACTGTCCCTGCCCCCAAGGATTATTTTACAGCAGTGGGTAAAAGGAGAATAAAGAAAACAACTGTATGCTCTGCTGAAATATCAAGTTCAGAATGACAAAGAGCAACTATTGTTTAAAAAGAAAAAAGGATATGCTAAATATATATTCTATTTTTTCCCAGGAGCTCAAGGCACCTTACATGGAGATTTCCCTTCGCAACATTTCTCCATAACAACAACCCTGTTGCTTGCACTGAAAGAGAATGATGGGCCCAGTGACTTTCGGGGGGGGGGCACGTGAACCTGGATGTAATGGGGCAGACATACACACATATGGGATAAAGTGGATTGGACACCACTAATTCCTACAAAAGGATCTCTAAACTCTCCACCCACAACTCTACTGCACCCTCCCCACAACCCCTGAGAAAAGCAGCTTTGTAATTTTTCTCCACCGGCCACATTTCCCTCTCTTCCCTATAATGAAGTTCATTCCAACGTTTCTGAGAACCTCAACCAGCCAACCTACCCTAGTATGTCTGTTGTTTCTCATACTGATAAAACAGCAGCAGTTACCAAAACAACCAACAGATGCAGACTGCCTCACCTTCATGAAAGAGACAAGCCTCCTACCCTCTACCCTGAAAAAGCAGGAGGAAAAAGAGAAGAGTTTTGCCAGAACAGATTGCCTATATAAACAGGTGTCTCATCTGAAAACAGGATACTGGCTAGAATTCTTGCATTGCAACATTCACCTTTCTGATAAATACTACTAATCAGAAGTCTTAGGTTCTTGATCCTTGTATTAACTGCTTCCAGTCTACACTGTAAGGAGGAAATGGGGCACCTAGCAAATAAGTCTGTTAGTGCAGAATGCAAGGGAGGTGACCTTGACAGAAATATACAAGAACCGCTACCTAGGCAAAGGAAGCTGAAGCATTCTTTAAGATAATACTGTTTTTGGAAGCAGAAACAAGATAATATTCAGAAGCAGGTCAGGCAAACACCTCCCTGATTCGCTGGGGTATAAAGAAGAGGGGAGGTACAGCGCAATCAGGCTTGCAAGATTCTGTTACTATAGCCTATCTATATTGCCCACTGATGATCCCACCATTAACTGCAATATATTATCATGTTTTGTTTTATTTCATTTTAATGCATTTTTATTTGTAATTTTGGTCTGTGACCTTAATAAAATATTTATTGATTGATTGATTGATTGATTGATTGATTGATTGATAGCCTATCTCAATAAAGTGTAGTTCTAGACATCTCATGGAGTTGATTTTCTGGTCAGGTCTACCTAGTGGGGCTGACAGTTAGGGCCTTATTCGCCAATTCAGCATCAATCCAGCTCCTGGCCATTGCCTCTGGACTATGAGTGGTATAATCCAACATTCAAGTTAAGACTTCTTGCTTGCTCCAAAGTGCCCGAGGATGGACTGGCCTCACCATATATACCACCACTCTCTGAAAGGGATCTTTATAATAGGTTTTGCAAAGGGGCTTTAGCCTTATCATGGCAGTTCCCAATGCTCTGACATCTGCAGTTACATCCTTCCCGCATCCTTTGCAGTAGACATTTTCAGTCCATTTTGGCCGGTTCTATTCATCCCAGGATGTTCTTTTTGGTTGTCATGAGCTAAACTTTGGAGCACCAAGTGAAACTGGGTGAGGACCATGAGCTGCCTATTCTTTCTTTCTCCATCTATCTCTTGGGAGGTACTCTATGTACAGATGTCCATCCTTAATTATGTACTGGAGCTCTCAGGTTCCTTTGGGGGAAGTCAAGTCACTCTCTACCAATTCTTGGATTGTGACTAGGCTTGTATACCCCTTCTGCACCTCCTGGAAAGTTTCTATCCCAACATCATCTTGGCACTTTTGTCAATCTTCCTCAGCCTCCGAACTCAGTTTTAGAGGAGAGAAGAGTTCTAAAGTGGCTCCCATAAAGTTACCTTCCCTGGAATCCTTCTCTTTCTGGTTAAAAATATGTAAAATATTTTTTACATATCCCACTTTGCCACACTGGAAACCTCACATTGCAAATTTGTTGAGTTGGCCTTCTGGTTGGAGAGGTGGTTCTCTTCCAAGTGGATTTGCTCCCAGCTTTGAACTGGATGAGTGAGGGATCTTCTCTGTATCCAAAGGGCTTTCTGAAGTCTTTTGCTCATGAATCAGGCATTGTCCAAACCCTGACTTCACCTCTGCAAGTTTCTCTGCCATTTTAGTCATTTCAGTGATGTGAGGGGCTCAGGTACATACCTGCTCTTGAAAGCAGTCTGGTAAGAAATTGAAGAACAGCTCAAGAAATGCAAGGAATGAGAAGTTCTTCAGTTCTTCCCATGTCTTTATCCAAGATCTCTCCAGCCAAATCTCCCTGGATCTCCTAATTCGGCAGCAAACACTGAGTAGCTATTGCTGAACTTTCTGAGGTTGTGAAACTTCTAACGGGCATTTTCCACTGTAAGCCCAAGCCTGATTTTCATCCCCTCTTGGAACAGATCATAGTTATCCATGTCACTCAACCCAATTTCCATTGTTTCCACCAGTACCAGGCAACCAATGTCTTGGTTTTTGAGAGTTTTAAATTCCACATATGTCCGTTCAAATTTGGCCAAGTGCACTTAGCCCCCTTTTTAACCATGCCATTGTTGCTCCATGTGCCATCCTTTTTTTCTTCTAGTTTTACTTCTGCCTCTTGAGCAGTGCATTTTTTTCCTAATCCTTTCACAGTTCTGCCCATGCACTCCGCATCTCACTTGTCAACCTCCATGCCCTTTAGAATGGCAGCTGGAACCTCTTGGTGCTTTCCCGAGGTTGACATTCTGACCTCCATGCCCTCCTCTGCAGAGCTGGTATGCTGGGTGACTTTGCCTCCCTTAGAAGCACACACTTGATCTAATTCCTTAACTAGCCATGGTTTGTAGATTAGAAAGAAAAGGGGGAGAGGGAATTGGACAGATCTACTGATGATCCCTTTTCTTTCTTACACTTTTAAGCCTGACAATCAGGCTTGCCTTTAATGTCCAACTGCTGTTGTTAACAGTTCATCCCACCCCTCCCATTGTACAATTGCAGGGATGCACTCACACACACACACACACACACACACACACAGAGGATGTAGTGCTTTGGGTGCCACTGATTCCCATGAGAGAATCTCTAAACCCTATACCTCTATACAATAATACTGTTCCGGCTTACATACAAATTCGACTTAAGGATGGATCTTGGGAACGGAACTTGTTCTTAAACTGGGGACTACCTGTATTCAAGTCTTTAATGTAACATCAAGGATAAAAAATAGAAGGAAGTTGAAAAAGCACAAAAGGAGAAAGGAGAAAAGAAAGATTGAACAATGACTTTTCGATCACTGCTCCTTCACTATGAAAGTCCCACAGCTGAAATCATACTCCATAAAATAAAATAAATTCCAAATCAGCATTTAGCTTTCTTTAGTCTCTAGCTTGCTATATCACTATGGATCGAGGCTTCTTTTCTTACCTGACTTTCAGCTAGCCCTGGGGGGAGATCTCCAATGGTAAGGAAGATGAAAGATGAAAGCAAAATGCAGCTCCCCTCCTTTTCTAAAAGCCCACTGGAGAGCAGAAAACTCCCAACTCCTGATTGGCTCCTCAGCATTTGAGTTTCCTGGGCTTCTATTGTCTCTGCCCATTATCTGGATTGACAAATCAGTTCATTTTTCTTTAACTCTCTCATCTTCAACAAGGTTCCCTTCAGATGCATTGGAAGTACAACTCCTAGAACCTGCCTTCCAAACTAGCACTAAATCTGTACAATTTGTCCTGTTTATTTTGTTTCATATGCTCCAAGAACTAAGCCTAGATATAATCACACATATTTTTAAATTATGGCCTGCCAATCTTCTAGGGAAGTCAGGGTGATATACGCAGTTATCTTTCATCACTTTCACTTCCCCCTTAACCTCAAAACAATTTAAAGGGGGCAGTTATTATAAAAAGAAATGACAATGACTAAGAAAGGCCCAAGGTTGCCTAATGAGTTTTATGACTAAAAGGGTCGGAGGGGGAAACATTTCCGTCACCCGGTTGGGCAACACTGAAGAATCTCTCTGTCTTCTTGAAGGACACTTCCTTCCCTTTTTGGACTTCCTATTCATCACGAAACACAAAGAAGAGCCACCTGATTTGCTCTATCATAGCAGTTAAGTTACATTCTTCTACTATCACTCATTATTTGGGTCAAGCTGGCTGAAAGAACATATTCCACTTCTAGGAATAGGTTAAGAAAGTCTTCACAGGATAAAGCAGGAAAACATCCACCGTTAGAGTCAATTTATCAATAAATAATATCCATCACTTTTATACAGAATATGGATAAGCACAGAAAAGCTCTATTATTTATTGTTTCAGCAGAATCCTGCACCTTTGCAGTCACAGATTCATTTAAAAAAAATGATTAGCCATAAAGATAATTTCACAATGTGTGGGAAGAGAAACATTCAACAGGGCTTCCAATTATGACGATGAGGCATCCTATCGTGCCTATATCATCTCTCTCCATGACCATTGGAAGGCGTTCAGTATGTTACTTAAGTATGTTACATGTTATTTAAGCCCCATTGATATGGTACTTTTTCCCCCTAACTCTGGTTGACAATACTCAGAAACACCAGCCCAACTGTGCTGATAAGGTAGAGAAAGATATAAAATATTTATGGTATGATTCAAACAAACACAGACTGGTCTCAAAAAAGACAAAGCAGTTTATATCTAAGGTTGACCGCATCTTCTCAGGAAGAACTGATTCCCCCTTCCTTAATCTCTGGAAGCTGATGCTAGTTTATCATACCAACTAATTAACTGATTTAAAAGAGGGTACAGATAGTTTTTAATTGAAACAGAGGGACAAGATTTCAGATTCTTTCTCCAGATGCAATTACTCCCTTGAAAACTAGTCTCCTGTTGCAATGCATCGAGGTTGACCATTTGTTTAAAGCCAACGAGGCTCTCTAGCAGAACAGAAAACAGAGATGACTCATCCCTGAGTTCAACAGAGGAGCTTTTTCTATCCCTGTATAAAACAAGCTAATCCTCCATCAAAATGGTTAATTCTCAAAGACAAGGATTTCAGTGAACTGCAGATTTTGTAAACATTATTTAATATTTCCCCCTTAAGCAAACCTAATAATCTCCTATTAACCTAGACTAATTATTGTAATTATTAAAGAGAAGAAAGCATATCATTCTTGTTTGGTTTTTCAAAATTATCATTTTCTCTAATCCTAGCAATTTTACACTTTTAAAGAGACAAAGAAATGTTTTCATACCTCCCCGTGGTGGAAGATTAGAATCATCCTACAAGCCCGCTCTCAGGCAGAAGATTCAAAGGTTCGGGGGGGGGGGGACAGTAATGGTTGCATCATAGCCTCCTGCTATGTCAGACAACAATTGCCTAAGAACTTCAAATTGCACTTCTGAGAAATTAAAGCAGGATATTTAAAACAATGATTACATCAGTTATGTCTTTTTATTACAATGTATTTGGTTGTGCAATTCATTTCAGCTTTCTTCTTCTGAAAAGCACATTTCCAATATTTAACATAATGGGGAAAATCCATATTCCATTAGTTATCCTAAGCTGCAATTGATTTTAACAAATCAGAATTTCTTTCCAAGTTCATTTATTCATTTTTGTCCTATACCTTTTTGTCCTATACCTTTGCGAAGGACCTCAGGAAATTAAGGGCTTCTCCACTTTTATTCATGAAGAGAAAATACTATACACATAAAGTAGCAACCTATACAGCTGCCGGGTTCAGGAAGTAGACGTCCACCCAATATTCACACATATGGAATTACACAGATGAATTGGTAATATTAGCATGTTAACAGTGACATTCTCCAGTTCAAAACATACTGTTGGTTTTTGTATCAACAGCATAAACAGGACTATTCTTACATCCATTTTATCTCTTTTTATTTGGTCAACATGAACCAAAAGGAACATATCCTGATGTCCATGGGATGGGGGCATTCCAAGCTTGCATTCTAATTCCCTTCCAGCTGACAAACAGGATACAGCAACTAGCCCTACATGCATCAACATGTTTTTTCTAAGCAAGCCATAATAATTCTGTTACTTATTAAAAAAACAAAACACACAACAGTAATTATCAGACTGCAACAAGAGTGGACTACAGTATAACCTTCCTTTCTACCACAACCAACAACCACCTCATTCAGCAAACCACACCAACTCATCTTTCAACCTATGCCATATGAATTTACTTGACAACAGATGTACATCTTTACTTCAGGAGATTTAAATGTAATGAAGTGCAAGAGTAGATCTCATCAAGGCAGAAGAAAAAAATGATGTATATACAGAAGTAGATTACAAGACAGAGGTATCTTTGCTACCCTTGACATCCTCCATATGGCCTGCCACAAAAGCTGCAGTCTATTTCCTATAAATAAATCTGGTTCTACAATTCATCGCAGAAACCCCAAGGAAACCTTTCATTATTCAGGGCCATCATCTGCAGCTAACTTTGGTAGGACAGTGCCAGATGTCAAGTTATAGCTTCAACTACCACTTCCCTCCCAAACTCCGTTGTTCACTCTTTCTGTAGCTCTCCTTTTAGGTCTGGCCTTACAATTTCATGGCTGCATTGCTCTACTTAAGGAGATGGAATGGAATCAAGGGTGCCCTTGCTGACATCTACTCCAGAGGAAAGACGAAAACATTTCCCATAGAAGAAACTGAACTCTATTTTTAAGAAATAGTGTTACAACTTAAAGTCAACAAGCAAGAGTCCATACCCATTACAGAAATCAATCTCTCCCAGGATTATATCCTTGCTGTTTTGATGTAATCTTTCAGAAAGTGAAAGATAAGTATTGGATAGCAGAAACCTGAGACTAAATGTGAAATTTAGTGTTTTTTTAAACTGTCCAACACATCATTCTACTAATTGGCTCTCTTCAAATATTAAATGTCAAGAGCAAAATACATAGTTCCCACCCCCTCCCCATTTCCAGCATACACATAAATGTAAAACATAAATCTTGACTGGGGTTGTGTCCAAGACACATTTGTGCATTTTTTAAAATAGAACATGAGATTAGCAGGGTTCCAAAAGCCACTGACATAATTAACAAGCTGCTAAGTGTTATTAGTATCTGGCCTGCTGATTTTTCTGGTTATTACAGAAGGGATAACCATAAAAATATCATAGCCTCTAAAGTTTACACTGCTGCTATGTTAGAGGAAAAATACTAATCACTCTGTTTTTAAAGTAACCTATACTATGTAGACAAGGATTGGCACAGATAACTGTCTCAGTGGGCACATTCTGGGTACTGTTAAAGGCAGCAAAGTGGCAAATGAGCCAATCTATGCATGTACATTTTCCTGTTTTCAGTCATCTCAATCAGATGCAAGAGAAACGTCCTGATAAATTAGGAATTAGCAAAGGGATGGATAGCATTTGAATTTCCATCTCAATCAGCAAACTGGGTTGAGCCAATCTGGATGATGTTTATCCAGTCCATCCTAGATGTAAGTTTTGCAAGCCTACTGAGCAAAAACTTCAAAATGTTTCTTTCTTCACTGTATGCAGTTGAACTTTTCACCACATTTGTGACGCTGCAAGGTTGCAAGAATGCAGATCAAAATCAATGTCTACGAATGATTTATAGCTGTAGATAATCACTACCTCAATTCTTCATGTTTGTTTGAGACCCCGGTGTTACATATACATCTTAAAAAGAAAACAAAACAATGGAACAATGAACGTTTCCTAAATCGAACTAAACCCTAACCCAAATTTATACCCACACTCCAGAAATCCATTACTATTATAATGCAGAAAGGTATTAATACAGTTCCTGATCATGGAGGACTAATAAACTAATAACACTAAAGCACCTAACCATTTCTAACATGAATTTTGAAGTTATTTATCTAGTGTATTTCCTCTAATGTCAAACACTAAAAATCTAATGGAAATTTACTGTATCCATTGGAAACCAGGGGGGGTGGGGAACCACATCACGACTCTTCCAAACAAATCCCAGGGATCTAATTTTAGATAGGAGCTTAATCCCCTCCCTACAAGCATTCAACACACATTAAATTACAGACATATATACCATCGTCACCCACAGAGAAGAGTAAATGAGTGAATTAGACCAACCATCATTTTTGCTTTTCTTGGGAGACTAGTTAAAAAGATGACTACATCTTAGCAGGGATCTCCCTGGAAACCCCAAATTGATCCAGTGCTCTGTAAAATTCCCATACCTTTATTACTTCAGCCATCCCCTAACTTCCCTTCTAATAATGATACTGATATTCTGAAAGATGTACAGAAATGATACTGTTATTAACCTGCTTCCTCCAAATATTCCGGTCCCAAATAAAACCATTTTTCTATCCCCGTGCTTTCCCTTCCATCATCCATTTCACTCTCAACTCTCCATCTTCCCCAAATAGCATCCTTCCTTCCAACATAAATACAATTAGTAGCCAGCTCCCCTCTCAAATAGCTTCCCACTATACATATTTCTCAAATTTAAAAATAATCTCTGAAGAACAAAAGCCTTTTGAACCTGAAAGTTCGTATACCATCTGTGAACGCTGGCTGATCTTACAGAACTGGAATTAAATTCCTCCTGTGAATATGTTTATAATGGACCAACAGAATTACCTAACAAACTATAAATACAGCCATTCCCAAGTGCCTGCTTGTCCTTGCACTGTTCACACAATCATGACAACTCTGGCAGTTAAACCCCCAACCCTATTTTCCAATAGCAAACTTCCACATGTCAGATTACTAGTCCTACATAAGTTATCCCAAAGACAAAGAAATAACCCTTTTTTATATAATCTTCCTAAAAGGCAGCCTAAAAATATTATTATTAATAATAATATCCAATAATAAGCCAATAATAAAAATACTATCCAAGGAAATCTTTTTCAGCCTCTGCTTCAGTTCTGGATAATAAAAATCAACTGTATTTATTTCTATTTCAATGCAAAGCAACAATTGCTTACCTAATTTTCAGGGCTGAAATCAGTGTAATTTAAGCATTTATGCTATAAATCCCAGGAAAGTTAAGGATTCTCCTTCTATACAGCAAAATGTCAATGTACTAAGCTGTTTTTTTCCTCTCACTGAAGCACATGAATCTTCCGCTTCTTTACTGTATGAAATAGAAGAATCACACCCTTCAATATAAATGAAATGGGATTTACACAGTAAACATTTAATTATAATTCTACGTAAAAGGAATGGGCTCGAGGCAGCCAATGTATAATTATAATTCTACATAAATGGAACCGGATATATACACAGGCTGTTATATTTACATGAAATAGAAACGCATTCTGCATTTACCAAAAAGCAAAGCTAGCGTTTTCTCCCAAATCATTTCTCTTCGGAAAGGCGAGGGGGCTCTTAGATTTGATGAGAGTAACATAAAAGAGGCAGACCAGCTTTCCTGTCTAATTTTTTGGTGGGGGGGGAGAGGGGAGGGGAGGAAGGGTTTTCAGTGCAGGTTAGGTTTCTTCCAGGGAAACTCAGCTGATGGGCATCCACCTGTACAGCTGTGCTGCACCTGACTCAAAATGCCTGGCAAAGAAGGCACAGAATTTAGGATGGGTTTATCGATATTGAGAAACCTGGAAGAGGCAACCTGGATCCACTCTGTCGATGGAGAGCAGGGTGCGGGGGGGGGGGGGG